AGGGAAGGAAGTCGCACACGTCTTTTTAAGAAAGAAAGAAAGAGAAAAGCATAGAAAAAAACAAAACACCTCTTGAGTCTTGATACATGCGCTGCACCTGTCCACAAGAGCACATCCGGATATCCTGGCGTGTGACTATGGTATAGTCTGAAGACTCTGGAGTCTGAACTTTGTGGCAACACGAAGGAGGAAGGCCTCAGAGGCTCGGCAAAATCGGTTCTGCGCAGAATCCACAGTACTGGTGTTTTTTTTTTTTTTTTTTTGAACTGAGAATTCAGACCATTACTGGTGGTTTAATTTTAAAGAAAAACGATTAAATGAAAGAAGAGAACTTAAAAAAAATGTTACGATCCTGGTCATTTCCCAAGTGCAAATTCACAATGAAAAAAGACAATGCCACCCAATTGCGAAAGAAATGAAAGCACTTGCAAAGAGATAAAGACCAGAGGAGAGAGAAAGAAGAAGAAGAAGAAGAAGATATGCACCAGCAAGACCAATGACAATTCCCCCTTCTCTCTCCACCTTCCTCCTCCTCCTTCACTTCGTCAATCTTATTCCCCTCTGCTCTAAGTGCCGCGGGCCTACCCCCGCTACCCGAGTGTTTTCCCCCCTGCAATCCTTCAGAGTCACGGCCACAGGTAAGCACCGGCCCTGCGGGGCCTTGCAACCAACAAGTACCTTGCGGGTCACACACACACTCAACCGACAAGCACTCAGACAGGCATGCAAACCAGCAGGCATGCACACACACACAGACATGGAAATCACAGCAGAATGCGGGAATTTCAGGAAGGCATTCATTCCAGCGGCAAATCCCAGAAATCAGCAGTGTTCTCAGTCTGTGTTTTTGGCGGGTCATTACAAAAAAAAAGAGACATCCCTGCTTGGGATCATGGTATAGTCTGAAGACTCTGTGGCACCATGAAGGAGGAAGGCCACAGAGTTCCGACTATACCATGATCTATCTGAAAATTTGGTGTTCGAAATTCGCATGTGGGACATCCCTCGAAGGTTCGGCGAAATAGGTTCCGCAGAACTGGTAATAAACTGCAGATTCAGGGGAGGCCAGTCTCCCCTGAATCTGCAGTTTTTTACGAGTTGTGTTTTGTGCAATCAGACTCGCCTTCATTCACACCTCACATGCATGCTAACAGGTTGCGCAGCAAACTGGCGACAAGTGCCCACTCAAACTCAGAGATATGGTAACCAAAACCACAGTTCAGATACGGTCTCACTTCAGATGGCTATGGCGCATCAGCGCCTAAACAAATCTCTGTTCGTCACTCACACGACGCTGCTGTTCACACCCTGGATCACCCTGGATATCCCACACGCAACACCCTGTACACTCGCACACACCCGAGCACACCTACAGCCATGGCGGCTGTGGCCGCTGGTACTCTATCGCTATGGCTATCTTCCTTCTCGCCCACCTCGTCCTCGGGCTCACTGCAGACCACCTCGCACAAGTCGCTGTGACAGCGCTTCCGCATGGCTCACGCAGGAATCCATGAATGCCTGTGCGCTGCCTCTTGATTTATACTTCTGTAACTCGTTGGTCTGCCTCTTTCCACCGGGCCCATGGTGCACACAGTCCCCCTTGGTACTTGCTTGACTGGACCTAGACTGACTGGGACTGTATCGCTGACTGCATGGGGATGTACCGCCGACTCACTGCAGTCGCACCGCTGACCTACCGGGTTGGCCTCGCCGCTTGTCCACTTGCCTCTGTCTAACGTGGGGCTGCTTCGAAAGGCCACTTCCGGAAGTCTCTAGACTTGGCCTTTCGGAGCCTGTAGCAGCTACGACCTTGACCTTTCAGGACTGTAGCAGCTACGACCTTCTAGAACTCACTAAACTCCTATCTGACAGGTCTACAGATCGAATCCCCTACAACCTACGGACCTAAAACAGCCTACCAACTGTTTGAGAATACACAGGTCACGGGTTCAAACACTCAGGGGTCAACTCGGTACTGTACATGGGTAAGGTAAGGTCTGGGGATCGAACCCTGGGATCTGCATCTGCCTCTGCAAAGGTGGAAACCGTTTCATTTGGCTTGGGCGCTGGACCCTTTTTTTTATTATAAATAATAATATAATAATAAGAAGAAATAAAAATAAGAAATAAAAAGAAAAATGAAACAAAAGTGTTGCAGGCTGGTGATGTTCGCAGCTCGTCAGGGTTGCGTTTTATGCCGCTTGAGACCTTCAACGTCAATTCAACATTCAACGTCGTCGGTGGTCGTTCGGGAGGGTGGCCAATTTCGAGGAGAGGGCTTAACAAGGGCAGGGCATGCGAAGGACCGGTAGCTGCCCATAGGCGGCCGAGGAGGCTGCGGTCCTTGAATTGGACATGTCAAAATCGAAACGGTGTGGGAGGCCGAGGAGGCCACGGTCTTTGAGTTTTGAACATTTCGAAATTGAAACGGTGTGGATCCACTTTTCTCGAATGGAAGACAACTTCGGATAGAACATGTATTCGAATACAATGTGTACCTTTTCCAGTCGAATTTCGAAAAGACGAAACTCTTGTCTATTTCGAATGGAAGACACACACACACACACACACACACACACACACACACACGCACACACGCACACACACACACGTTCTCCTGTCTAAATGGAAGACACACACACACACACACACACGCGCGCACACACACGTTCTCCTGTCTATTGGTGGGGCGCGGCGCATGCTGGAAACTGGGTCCAGTGTCCCATGAACATTGTGAATAGAGCAGCAGCCGGGACTCCCCACACAGACACTCTTCGAGTTGTGCATAGCGAACATTACGAAACATACACACAGCATAATCACTAGCAAGGCCCTTTCCAAAGACCCCCCCCCCCAAAAAAAAAAAAAAGGAAGGTAGGGAACTGAGGGCAGAAAGTTGTGCGCCGAGTATCTCGGCGGGTACCGGCCACTGGCCACTAACTCCACCTGGATCAGCTTGAGGTTCTTCCTTTCGATGATGGAAGCAGGATTATTCTGCTTGTCTGTTTCAGGGGTTACCTGTTTTTCTAAATTTGACCCATCCTGGTTTTTACTGACATAGCATAGTCGTTTTCATTTTCATCACCATAAAAGGACGTTCCCTGCTCAGTTAATCCCCTGGATTCCAGGGTAATCAATGCTGGCAAGGGGAGGTCCTCTCAACTTTTCTCAAAAAAGATCCCTGTCGAAGCGGTAAATGTCCTTATGGAACGCTGGACCCGGTTTACAGCATGTGCTGCTCCCCACGAATAGATTGGAGCATTTGGCATGTCCGCGGAACAAAGGGAGGGCATGAGCTCAGAAGAGCCTCAAAACAGGACGTATTGGGCTGATGTTTTGAACAAGATTCATTGAATTTAATTCTGATTGCCAACAATTGAAACCAGCAATACCCCCACGGCTTCATCGGCTGAGATAGTTGGCTTGAACCCCCTGGCGCCGGCCTTGGTATGGTCCTAGGTTTTTTTGGAGGCCTTTGCCCCTGTCATCCCTCGCTGGGGGCTATTCCTAGGTCTGGTACATATTGATTAACTCTTCCTCCGGTGCTTACACATGGATTACTCATCTTAGACATGTAAGTAGGTAGCGTGAGGTGTTATTGAGAGAAGAATATAGCTTACTAAGCTTAGTTGAAAAAAAAATAAAAAAAATCAGTACCTGAGTAGCCCAAAGCGGCCGATGGCCTGATGATTGATGGAGGTTGATTATGATTCTGGTACCCATGCATTGTTTGTGGAACAGCAGCTCCACTGGGTGGTGGTTGAAGGCCATGTGTTACACCACCCAAAGTAGGTTGGCAGGTTGGGCAAGAGATGCCCAGAAGAAAAGATTAGCACCCTCTTCCACTACCCCCTCCCCTCCCCGCGCTTCCTTCTCCCTCCCCGCATGTGTTATACCACCCAAAGTGGGTTGGGCAAGAAACTCCGAGAAGAGGAGATAGATTGCCACCATCGTTTCTCGTCCCTCGTCTGCCCACCCATCCCCTCCCCGCTCTCCCCTCCCCCCTCCTCCCCTTCATGCTTGCCCAGAGGGACCTGTCAGTGAAAAACAACACCTCCAGATCGGAAATTAATAATCATCTGGATTATATTCAGCCTCGTTTAGGGATGGATGGGGGGGGATTTCTTCCCATATGATCTATGGTATATCCCTTACTATCTTTAAGGGAATAGCGGGTCTGGCGTCACGCTCCCGCCAGGCCCGGCTTCCACTCTTGGGAACGAGTCGGGGACACCAGGGATGGGCCCGGCAGACACCCGGGGCGTCGTTTTTTTTTTCCTCTTTTGCCTCGCGCGTGGCGAAGTTTCTCGCGCCCAGCGCCGCAACGTGGGGAGATACACCGGTCGTTCGTATGAGACTGAATTCTGCTCCGGAACATGGGGAGATACACAGGTTCCCTTTTGTTCGTTTGTTTCGTTTCTTTTTTTTTTTTGTCGTTTCGCCAGTTTCCTTTTGTTCGTTTCTTTCCTTTTCTTTCTTTTTTCTGTTGTTTTGCGGGTTTGCTTTTGTCCCGCCCGTTGTTTTCGTTTTGGCCTGAGGGCCTCGCTGCACTGCTCTCCAAATGTGCAAATGAGACTGAATCCACTGCTAGAACACGGAGAAATACATTGCCATCTTTTTTGTCTTTTGCGCACGCGGAGAGTACCAAGCGTTTTTCCTTTTTTTTGTCGTTTTGCAGGCCCTTCTTGAATCTGGTCTGAATCTGTTTGAATCCGTTGTTAGAATCCGTTTGAATCCGTTTGAATCGGTTTGAATCCGTCTGAAACCGTCTGAATCCATTCTGAATATGTTTGAATCCGTTGTTAGAATCAGTTCGAATCCGTTGTTAGAATCGGTCTGAATCCGTTGTTAGAATCGGTCTGAATACGTTGTTAGAATCGGTTTGAATCCGTTCTTAGAATTGGTTTGAATACGGTTGAATGAGGTCGACTTGCGCGTGAATAAAATGGGTGTTTCCTGTGAAGTTATTAATGACTTGTCTTTGTCTGTGTGCCTTGCAGGGGTGAGGGCGGACTTTTCCGGATCAGAATGCATTATTTCAATCTTGGAGTTGAGCGGTCTTGCACTTGGGGGGAGCCAGATGAAACGGGCGTCTCATCTCTCCTTGTTCCACAGGTATTAGAACCTTTGGTAGGCGGACAAACGGACATGCCGCAAACACCAGTCGATGGAGGATTGGATTTGAAAGACCTCTCAGGCAAGGGTGAAGAAGGCACGGCGTCTTCAGTGATTTTGCCGGAGGAGAAGCCAGCAAATTCCGGAAAACAGCGTTGCAAATGCCTGCGCAAAGGAAAGGGGCCACGGGTAAGATGCCTTTCATCCTTCACTGGGTCAACCCCTCTTTGCGCATATGCTAAGCATCTCTCTCTCTCTCTCTCTCTCTCTCTCTCTCTCTCTCTCTCTCTCTCTCTGTGTCTGATGATATAGTTTTTTGACTCTTTGTGTATCTGTCATCCAAGGAGAAAGAAGGGGGAAACTTCTGAAGAATCTGAACACAGAAAAACACTACAGCCTGAGGGCTATGAGCTCCCTTGAATTCCGGGAGCGACTCTGCGGTTCCTCCTTTTTTTTTTTTTTTTTTTTTTTTTTTTAAGGTCCAGATTGTGGTGGGGACTCTGTGGTTCCTTTTATGCCTATCTATTTTCTGATACCGTGATTGCTTACATTAATTTATTAATTTTTATAATTCTATTTAATTTATTAATTAGTAATATATTATTACTCATCTCCTCCAGAAGTCTGACATGCTTTCACAGAAGCTTAGCAATTGGTGGCGAAGGACAGTACAACAGATCAAGTCCACACAGAGACTTCCCTCAACATAAATTATTAAATTCAGCACAAGACGGGTGCGAACTCTGAACAGTCTGAGGGCATTCTCGCACTAGCGCTTTCTGGAATGTACCTGACTGCAGTTACAGCCAGGCCGGGATGTATCTGACCGCAATAAGGTCTCCAGCTCAGTGGAAAAACTCCTAGTGTGAGTAGGCCCTGAGTTATCCTAGTCTCTACTGATTTTTTTTCGGAAGTTTGCAACAGTCAATTTAGAGGGATTATTTAAATTTATTTTTACTTTCGTTTGGGAAAGGAGTGCTTATATGGCAAGGGTCTTTTGAACTCTTTTCCCAAAAAACAAGAAATTAAAATTGGTAAGGAGAGCAAGCGACCTAGCTCAGTTGGTTAGGCACACAAGTGGCATTCAGGAGGTTGTGGGTTCAGTCCCCACTGACCACCTGCGGCACTCTTGGTGCCAACCAACCGAGATAGTGAGCTTGCTCCCCCCCATTTGGCATTGGTAGGGTCTTTGGCCATCACGGGTATGCGTGTATGTGTGTGTGGGTTGTGTGTGGTGTGTGGTGTGTGGGTTGTGTGTGGTGTGTGTTGTGTAGAGCGCTGGCCATAGTCACTGCTGTTACTCAATGGGGGCGGGGAAAGTGGATGGGAGGCACAGCTACTGGCAAAATGCTCGGTCTTTGCGTTAGCCGCCCCCTCCCCCCCCCTTATCGGCACTCTATTCCCTGACAATTGCCAATTAGGGTGGGGGCCAACATGCATCCCCTTAATTGTGAGAGGTAGATAGGCTTGCAGAAGTCCCCTGTATAGGCTTAGGAGTAGTGGTATGTACTATGTAGGTAATGAAAGTCCGAGCCTATATAGCTATCAAGTCCGAGCCTCCCGCGCTACCGGTATGCCGAGCCTGGCGAAGCCTAGAGCTACCGGTAGTGTGAGAGTCTTCATTTATAAAACAAAAACAACAAAGAAAAAGCAAAAAAAAAAAAA